AATCGCTATCATTATTGCGTATATATGCTATTTGATGTGGTCATCTGATATATCTTGGTGTTATTTACTTGTATGGGAATTATTTGAGCTTTTATACTTACATTTTAACTAAAAAGCTTCAAAAGCAATATTTTCCTTAGAAGTGAAATATTTTCTAGAAATTTTAAATAAGCTACACAAGCGAAGGCGTGAGCGAAAGCTCGTGTCTTATATAATTCGGGCATATACTAAGAGCCGTTGTAAAGTTGAAAAAAATATACATATATTAAATTTTCTTCTTATCAAAACCTATTTACAGTAAATTCTTATCAGAAGCTTCACATATCTTAATTTTTTGTCATTTTTTGATGTGTAAGTAAATGTAAGTATTAATTAAAATAATATTTAAAATTGAATTATAAACCAAAACATATTTTAAATCATTAAAAAATACGAAAAACCTCGCTTAACCAGACTAGAATAAAATCATTGAGTCAAAGACTTCGATCTATAAAAAATATTTACCTCAAGCGTGATTGAACACGCTACCTCTAACGTAGAAGGGCTGTCTCGCAACACGTATCTTTGACGAACGATTGGTTTTAATTGAATTAACCAATTTCAATTAAATATTTCAAAAAAAACGAAACGTACAAAGTGTAGTCATTGAAATTTTATTAATCAAATTACGTTTTGACTTTCTAAAGAACGTTATTGATTTACAACTCTAAATAACCTATGATAAATCACGACAAAGAGATGCTATCAAATCAATCAACGAAAATCGATTAATTGCGTAAGAAACAAAATCGATTACATTACACGCAAAATATCAATGTTACAGGAAATATTAGTTTCAATATTAATACTCGTATTTCTTCATGATTTTTATTAATTTGAATGAAATACTTTGAAAGTTTAAAGTTTATTTGGCATTTTTTTATGTGTGTTTTGGTTATCTAGTGGAATGTGGTATCTTTTAAGTAAAATAATAATTAAAAATAGTAATTTAAAGTATCGAAAACCAGTTTAGAAAACTTTGGCCTATAAAAATATTTATCACGGACGGGTTTGAACTCGCGACCTCTAGTAGAAGGACGACGTAGAAGGGTTGTTTCATTAAATTATATTCTTTGACGAACGATTAATTGATTGATTAATCATTAGGTAGTTAATTCTTTTTTTTAAGATTTAGGCGATTTTAATTGATACTTCGATGTAGGTACTTCGATGGCATTTCAATTTCTTCAAAGCTATTTTATATTTTAGTGGGTAACACTATCTCTAATAACTAATATAGTAGGTATATAATAAGTTTTGAAACGTTAAAAATGTTATTCTTTAACCATATTTGCTTTATACCTAATATCCAAACCGGCATTAAAAATCTAAGTAAATCAATTAAATGATTTTATGTCAAAAGTGTGAGGGTAAGGGGTAATTCGTTTCGAATGGGTGCGTTCCTGTCTTTTTCCTATATATTTCATTGAGATAAAAAAAAAATTGGTCAGTTTTTCCAATTTTTGAACAGAAATCATAATAAAAATTTTCGTTATTATGATTTGTGATCGAAAACTCATTTTTATCGGAATTAAAAATAGCTTAAAGCAATCGGCGGTAGCATAGATTTCTATTAGTGAAAGAATCAAAATAGGATAGGTAGTTTCGGAGGTTACCCTCTACATACAAACTTACAAACAAAACCTCTATATAATATTAGTGTAGATTAAACAAATGGACAAACGCTTTAAGAAAAATACATAAACATTTTCGTGTATATTTTGAAAGAGAATTTGCGAACTCATGCGGGATTCAGTACTAGTCATACAGGTACAAGCTCCATAAATAAATAAATAAATAGATATATGTATGGACATTAACACACAGCACCATCTATGTAGTTCCATGGTAAGGCTTGTGTTATGGATACCAGATAGCTGATACACTACACATTTAAAACTTTAAATACATACATATTATAAATATAAACACCTATTACTGGAGTACAAACATTCGTGCTAATCACACAAATGAATGCCTCCAGCGGAACTCGAACCCGCGACCGCTGGCACACAGCAAGTAGGGTGACAACAAACCGAGCCAAAAGTGTCGTCGAACATACATACTATCCCAGGAAATGGCAGTCAAGCAAATAACATAAAATTAGAAAATTAATTATATTCAAATACTAAATGCAATTTAATAGTTATTTGATAGTCATGAGGAATAACTACATTCCTCATATTTCAAGAAGAAAAGACGTGTTGAAACATTCAATTAATAGCATATGTTTCAATCTATGTTATTATGGTGTCTTCTAACTCCTTATATATATATATATATATATATATATATATATATATATATATATATATATATATATATATATATATATATATATATATTTAAACTTTTCAAGCAAAATATGTTTTATCTTTACATGTGAAAAATTCTGAGTCGAAACTGTATGTACGTTAGATTTTTTTTTTCTTGGAAAATCTTATTGAAATAGTCGTTATTATTTGTAAAGAGGCTGAATAAATGGTTTTTACAATTTTTGTCTGTCTGTCTGAACGTATCACGAGAAAACCGCTGGACAAATTTTGATGAAATTGAGTATAATGATAGCTGGTTGGTTATCCGGGTCAACCAACTTACTATACCTATATTTTTTTTACTCGTTTTTGCTCGATATTGATAACGGCAACAAGTAGACGCTTGAAATATTCACAGAATATTTAGTAACATATTCACTTTAAAAATAAATCATTAAATTAAAATAAAACAAATATTTAAGAGGGGCTCCCATTCAACAAACGTGATTTTTTTGCCGTTTTTATAGAAAATGGTACGGAAGCCTTCGTGCGCGAGTCCGAACGGAACCGAACTTTGCCGGTTTTTTTGGTTTAGTGTTACCAATAAACAAAAAGATTATATAGTCGAATTTCGACCACATAGCGAATACTAGTTAAAAAATCTTTGAATTTAAGAACACTTATAAATCTACTTGATATATTGTTTAAGTAGAAAACAGCTGTATTTTAATGACGTTTATAAAGCATTTCCACAACGTGACGACATCAATATTACGGTACATCACGATGCGTACGCGCAATAATATATGTGATGACACTCATATTACATTGGCTATACTACATCTAGACCTATCTATGTTTTCTTTAGTTTTTGCTATTACTATTTATGGTATTCACAAACCATCAATCATATTATAAATGCGAAAGTTTGTAAGTAAATGTGTGTATTTGTTATATCTTTATGATGTAACGGCGTAACAGATTGGCATCATACTCCTTTTGTAACGTCCCACTGCTGGGCACGGGACTCCCTTCAATACGAGGGGGACCAGACAATAGTCCTCCACTCTGGCTAAGTAAGGGTTGGCGGCCCCCCCAACGTGCGTTCACCTTGTCGTGGTGGGGGGCTCAGTACCTAGTGCCCGGCAATTCAGCCGGGCGCGAAACCAAGAAACGCACAGGGAGGTGGCCCACTTCGGTGGGCGGTGGGAGGTGGCCCTCTTCGGGGGGCGGTGTACCATGCGGGTTGCTCCTGGTACTTCTCTGATAGCAGAGTGGACCCCATGGTTGTTGTGGCCTGCTACGGCAGACCTACCATCGGAGCGTCGTAGTTGAATGCGTAAGCGATCCTGCGACGCCCCATTAAGACGGGGGAAGGTTTTGTTGGGTTTTACTGGGTAGTACTAGCTTTGCCGGTGAGTCCCACACCTCGTGCGTAAATGCATTTTCAACGTTAAAAAAAAATAACAGGGTTGGCGGACTTCACATTTCTTTCGAAAACTTGCTGTTCTTCACGATGTTTTCCTTCACGTGGTAACCATGTTGGAAATGATTCGCACGTGAAAATTCAGAGATGCAAAACCGAGAGTTGAACCCGCTTCACTCGCTTACCTAAACAAGCGCGTTACCACTAGGCTACGACTGCCTCAACGAATTGGTACGATAGCCGATATCTTATTATTTACGAGCGATATACTCTTGCTTTGCCGTAATACGTGCTTAGGCGCCTTTTGTATTCAATAAATAATAGAAATAAATACTACTTATCTATTATATAAGTAGATAAAGATAAAATAATTCAGTACTTTTTTTCCTTTGTTTGTCAATCAAGTTACTTTTTTTTGTTTAGTAGCTATTGAAGCTAGCGAAAAAATGTTTGTTAAATATTAAACACAGGATTCGCCATCTTTTGGGAAGTGTGATTCTTAAATTGAATTGAATAAACAGTATGCAATTGAGAATATAGTAAAAAATATTAAAATTATAAGTATTTGAAACTAGACTTCGATTGAGACTCGATGTTGAGAGTTGTTGCCCGATAGAAAATGCCTCAGTACTGAAGAAATGAGAGCGAATCTTTCTTAGCGTAAATATAATATTATGTAAAACAAGCCCAATAACTGACTACGATAAATACTCTAAAGAGATTCTTTCTTTCAAATATACAATATGGGTCGCATAGAACACTACCATAATTAGAATTATTTTAAAAATATCTCCATAGTATTAATTATTGAGGTAGTAGTAGCAAAGTGGTAACAAGCTCGTGTTGGCATACGAGCTCAAACCCCGGTTCTCGCCCCAACAGTCTTCATGATAGGCGTCCCGGGTCTCGCCTCATAAGTGAATCATTTTCAACACAATCTCACCTTACGGTGAAGAAAAATATTGTGAGGAAACCTGTACCTATGTCTTGTAAACTACTTTTTCACATAATTATGCGTAAACCCGCATATTTTGAAAGCGCAACTTGTAATTATTCATGAAGATAGTCCTCATAATACGTCCGCTAATACAAATATTATAAATATTGTCAAACTGTGCAAGGAATAGCATTGTAACTTACTATTGTAATAATTTTGAATATAGACTTTGAATATATGAGAAAATTATTTATATTTTTAATTTATTTTATAAATGAGTTACAATATTATTCTTTGCCAGTTTAGAAAATATGACGGTATAGTAATAAATCTAAATATGTACCTGCTTTGCTGAGGAGTTCATTCTTAAACAGATCTGGAAAAAAAAATCAGGTTAGTCAAATAAAAAAGTTATTATATATTTATTATGGTCTTTATAGTACTCGTATATCTACAACATCGTAGTCTCTTCATGTGTCCGTACTATTGAGATTAGGAAATTTTCTTACAGGAAACATGGCTTATTTTTTTTATACTCGACAAAAAGTTTATTTAGATTCAAATTTTCTTACTGTGCACTTTAAGTAAACGCTTGCTTTGATAAAACCGGAAGGCGGAAAACATAGTGGCGCCATCAGGTGTTACATTATAAAAATAAACAGGCATACACATAACGCATACAGCCAACTATTAAATTAAAATTCAATTTAATACCTACGTCAGAAATTTAGCTTGGAGATTATTGGCATTATATTTGAAATTTGGTAGACGTTTTCTCAAAGCTTCTATATTTTTTTTTTTACCTAAATAAACAAATAAAAAAATCGATGTCACAAGTGTGAAGACTAGGGATGACTTCTTTAATAACAGAGTTAGCACTTTTTCTTTCCTTTATATTAGAAGCCCAGCCAACAAAGTAGAGTAATCGTATAAAATAAAACTATCGTTTTGGATTTTTTTGCGGATTTATTTTGATTTTTGGTTCTCGACGTTTCGAATGCTTTACAGCGCACACGGTCACGGGAGAGATCGGTTCAGACGTCTCAAAAGTTGTTATACAGTTTGTAGAGCATTCAAACTTTTTAATTTATTTATCTAAAAAAATATTTGTAGTGTTATCTAATAATTTATTGATTAAAGCAGTTAAATTATTAAAGCTCATGTAAAATAGGCGTAAATAAGTTTGTTTTATTAATAGTAAAAATATATCTAATAATACCATTTTCTTTTATTACTTATTTGCATTATGATCCCATAAGTACAAATATACATATATGTACTCTTTAAACTGCCTCGGTGGTGTAGTGGCTAGCATGTACGGCTGCACACTCGGAGGTCCTGGGTTCGAGTCCCGGGTCGGGCCAAGTTTAGTTATTGAGTCTTTCTGTATAGTAAGTCTCAGTAACAGCCCGGAGTTAGAAAGTTGGCGGTGTTTCACCCCCGTGCCTCGGAGAGCATGTAAAGCTGTCGGTCCTGCGCCTTAACTCTCACTGGTCGTGTCGATTAGTCATCCCACCGGAGTATGAGAGTGACAGGAATAGAGAGTGCGCGTTGTGTCTGCGCGTACACTTGTGCACTATAATATCTCCTGCGCAGTTGGCTAGTCTCAATGAGATTGGCCGCCGTGGCCGGAATCGGCTAGGAGAACATCATCATCATCATGTACTCTTTAACCCAACCTTCACTCGGGTGCACCCCTAGGCGCCTTTTGTATTTATAAATATAAATTATATACAGACTGTTCCGCCTTTTGGCAAATTGTATTTATGACCTATATGTTACTCCAAGTCATAATCTATTTGAATACTAAACTTCATCCAAATCAATTCAGCCGTTTCAGCGTGAAGACGAAACAAGCATACACACATACAAACTTTCGCATTTATAATAGTAATATGATTATCGATTAAAGACTATAAAGGTATATTGCTAATGGGCACAAAACATGTTCATTAAACGTTATGGTCGATCGTTAATGCAATAACGTTTAATTTAATATGTGCCTGCAGTATAGTGATCAACTGAATATAGTGCTGGAATATCATAGTTATGATTTTTATCTAAGAAGTGAATTTAATCTAATAAGCGTCAAGTAGCCCAGTGGTGACGCGCTTGGGATACAGAGGGAAGCGGGTTCAATTCCTGAATCTTGGACCTCTGATATTCTCATTTGCGGATGATTAGCAAGTGATAATCATTATCACTTGTCTTACGGTGAAGAAGAACATAAGCGGAAACCTACTGTCTGGCTACCTTCCTATATCTACCTATAGCAAGTTTTTAAAAGACATGTGATGTCCGGTTGCTTTTGGCCAGCATGGTGGACTATGGCTTATGGATATTCTCATATTGAAAGAAGAAGTGCCCAGCAGTGGGACGATAAAAATGGCAGAATACAAGCAAGTTAATATAACATATCATTCAAGAAAAGACAGACAATCATTAAAGACAACAAAAAAAATTGGGAACGACATTATCATTATATCTGGGACATAATATTGGTTATTTTAGTACATATTTTGCAAAAAAAAAACAGAAAATTGGTTGAAAAATACGGGTGAAAAAGGCACTGTTTTGTCTTTGCCTATTAATATATAACTAACGGCTCTCCCTCGCTTCGCTCGGGTTCGTCCCTGGGTACGTTTTAAGTAGATATAAATATGTATATAATTATTAGCCAGCGTCAGCCATGTATAATTTTTTTTTTTCGTGAATTTTTCTGATGTTTTAATAGCTATTCTGCTATTCGGGGTAGAGACAAATCCAACAAACCAAAGACCGTAGAGATCGGTCCGGCCGTTCTTGAGTTATAAATGGTGTAACTAAACCGACTTTGTTTTATATATATATATATATATATGCAAAACGGTCATAAATTATCAAATTGCCTTAACAGGTCCATAAATAAAAATAATAACAAGAAAGCTATGAACATTCACAAGATCATTTAATACGTGATAGTTATAGTGGTAATTAATTAGAGAATGTATAATTTTGCTATAAATTAAATATATCATAACTCTATCACATTTATCTATACATATAATAAAATTCTGAGTCGAATCCGCACATTAAATATTTTTTGGAAAATCTTATTGAAATAGTATATATTATCGATACAGAGGCCGAATCTATGGTTTTTTTTTGTCTGTCTGTCTATGACTGCATCACGAGAAAAACATTAGACAGATTTTAATGAAATTCGGTATGATGATAGCTGGTTATCCGGGTCAACGTATAATATACTTTTTACTGCGGGCAAATATCTCATCTCTGAGAAATCTAACAAAATACCTATGAACATTCATTCGAGGACATGTTTGGCTCAATTTGTAGTGACTCTACTTGCTGTGCCAACAGTCGCGGGTTCGAGTCCCGCTGAGAGCATTCATTTGTGTGTTGAGCAATGAATGTTTGTGCTCCAGTCATGGGTGTTTATATTAATAATATGTATTTGAAATCATGTATATGTAGTGTATCAACTATCTAGCATCCATAACACAAGCCTCGTAGCTTACCATGGAACTAGATGGTGTTGTGTGTTAATGTCCCAACATATTTATTTATATTTGTATAGATATAAAAGAAGTTAAAATATTAATTTAGATTTCTATTAAAGTTAAAATATTGAGCAACACTATTGCTACCTTTATAGACAAAAAATATAAATCAGAATTACTGTAATTATTGCGATCCACACAGTATGAACTAACTACATCTGCTGGTCTGTTATATTTGTTTTTGTTGTTAGATTTTATGATGTTTATTACAGGATCCCAAGATGATGGTAGTACCTAGCCATCTTCCCTATTGAATTTTGGATATTTTTTAATTTCAATAGCTTCGCGAATTGATATATACATATATTATAGGCTTGGGAATGCGACAGGGTACTTATTTTAGTATCTACATATAAGTTGGCAAAGACAAAAGAGTAAAGTATTTTTTATCCTCTGTTAATCAATCGATTATATTGTTTAGTAGCTATTGACAATCTTCAGTGTTACCAATAAAAGAATAGAAACAGTTACTTTCTTATTAATATTATTATCCAATTTTAACCACTGAGCACACTGCTATGCCACTAGTATTAATCCCCATATATTAAAAATATTTTAACATAGTTTAACATTTCTGTTAATTATTTATATTAGAGTCCTCTAAAGCGTATGAAATATACATAAAAGTTAATATTTTTAACTAATAAATAACTTAATGTTGCCATATGAATAATAAAAATAAAATTTTACTATTCTAAACAATGTTATTCTTTTGCTTGGCTAATAGTTAAGCAACATTGTCTGAAGTCACTAATTGGATGGTTTGAATAAAATAATTTTAATTAGATTAATCGTTATATGTAAAGAAGCTACTTTAATTTGGTAAAGACAATCAAAGAAATAATAACATGAGAAAGATAAGAAAGATAAAAATAGACTGAATATTAAAGGATTACTCAAGCGGAAATCAAACTTACGTCCTCTACATCGTATGTTAGAATTTCTCATTATCTAGTACATAATATATTATAATGATAGTATGAAAACAGTTGAAGGCTCTAGATTTTAGTTTGAAACACAACGATTTTCTATACTGTAAACTATGTGCTACTGTCGTTTTTCCGCGGCTTTGCCCGCGTTATTTAACCATGTACCTATTTATCTTTATAAAATATATGTTACCCTTATGCTATATAACTACAAAGTTTCATCAAAATTAGTTCAATAATGTTTACGTGAAAGAGTAGCAAACATCCATACATCCTTAATTTTTAATTCATATTTATATATATATTAGTAGATTTCATTGTTTTAGTTGACAATGAAAATTAATTATTTCTCAATATTTTTTAATGTCGGTAACAACTAACATTTTACACTTAAAATATATGTAGAGGTGCATATTCAATATGCCAAAATCGTGCAGACAGTAAGGTCGTAGGAATGCATACGTTAATAATTGATCCAGACTCTAACTCAGCTTTACATTTCAAATACTCGTAGGTGAAAAGATCTTATTTTTATAGCCGACCATTAATTAAAGCATGTAATAACAAATAATAGCTCGGCTATTCAATTTCCTTCGACGTGTAGTAAATCTTTAAGTTTTCATCAAATTCTAACATATTAATTGAATATTGTATTTAATACAAAATTGGTCAAGTGCGAGTGTTTTTTTTTTAAAATAAACATTTTGTGTTACATTTTATATTTTCAAAATATTTTATACTTTTAAGCGTTTATATTTATGTTAAATAGTATAAAATATTCCTATCCTCCCTACCTATCCCGATCCTAGATATGGTAATCCAACGTAGGACCGACTGAAACTCCTCCAAATTTTGTTAGCAATTTTAAAAAAGAA